AGGGAGGAGGCCACTGTGGCAGTCAAGGTGAGGAACTTGGGGTCTGGACCAGGCGGTGGGGTGGGCATGGAGAGGAGTGAAGATGTCAGGGCTGCTCGGTTCTTGGTGACTGATTGTGGGGAAGGTGACAGAAAGGAGTCAAAGATGGCCCCAAGTCCCTGGCTTGGGCAGCTGAGCACATAGAGAGTGGTGCCATTTCTTGGTGCTAAGGAACAGAGGAGGAAGAATAAATTTGCAGAGAAGGCAATGCGTTCTATTTTACAATAGAGGTTCCTGTAAGAAAACCAAGTTGAGCCCTGGAGGTGTGGCTCAGTGGGTTGAGTGCCAACCTGCAAACTAAAGGGCCACTGGTTCAATTCCCAGTCAGGGCACATGCCTGGGTTGCAGGCCAGGTCCCCAGCTGGGGGTGTACAAAAGGCAACCAACATACATGTTTTTCTTCCTCTCTTTCTCCCTCTTTCCCTCTCTCTAAAAATAAATAAATAAATAAATAAAATCTTTTAAAAAGAGAAAGAAAAAATAAGTTGAGAGGTCAGGAGACAATGAGTGTGCTTATCTGGAACTCAGGAGGCAGGTCCAGGTTGGATATGCAGAGTGGCGTGTTATCCATGTATTGCGAGCACCTGGAGCTAAAGGACCAGCGACAACCACCAGGGTAGCATGTGGGGTGAAAAGAGGAACTGATGCCATCTCGAGGAGTCCCCATCTCCAGGGCCTGGGCAGAGAGACGGGAGGCTACTAAGAAGCATTATGGGCTGAACCGTGTCCCCTCAAATTCAGATGTTGAAGTCTCAATCCCCTGCACCTCAGAAGATGACTGTATTCGGAGGTCGGGTCTTGAAAGAGGTGATTAGGGTAGAATGAAGTCATCAGGGCGGGTCCTGACCCAGTGTGGCTGGTGTCCTCATGAGAAGAAGAAATTTGGACCCAAACGTGCATGGAGGAAGAATACCACGTAAACATCAAGACAGATATCTGCAGGCTAAGGGGAGAGGCCTCAGAGAAAACCAGCCATCTGGCACTTTGATCTTGGACTTCTAGCCTCCAGAACCATGAGAAAATGTCTATTGTTTAAGACAGTCCTCAGTGCTTGTCAGGGCAAACTGATACAAGAGGCAAGAGGAGGATGAAGAGTGTGGTATCTCAGAGGATAAGAGGTGAGCATCCTTTAAGTAAGAGAGGTTGTCCACATATTTAGTAGGTGCTGAGAGGTGAAGACAGGGTGTGCCCCTCGGAAGGACCTGCAGAGAATGGTCTCAGTGGAGTGGAGTGAGGGCAAAAGCCAGATCTGTGTGGATCAAGAAGTTAGCAGGACTCCCATTGACTGCCAGGGTAGCTAATCTTTAAAGAAATTAAAGGGTTGGGCAGAAAGACATGACAATGGCTGCAGTGTGACAGAGGACTCAGGGAGGGCTTTAGGCGGGAGATTCTTGGGCCTACTAAAACTCCAATGGGTCAGAGTGGAAGAGACTGCAAAGACAGAAAAGAAAAAGGGACAACCACCCAAGAGTGAGGTTCCCAGGGGTGCAAGGAGAATCCTCTTTGGGTAGTAGCAGGAGGCAGGTGGACAGGAGGAGTTGGATGCCAGCAGTGTGGGTTGGAGGGTGGGAAGCTGAGTGGTGCAAGGCTAGCTTTCCTGGGCCCTCCAGATCAGCTCTGCACCTTTTTCCACCAGCTGTCCATCCCAGGAGGCTGACTCGAATGGACTTGATGTCCACCCCCCACCCTTGGGAGTCACCGGGAGGAAACCAGAGGTTTGGAGGAGAGTGAGACTGGGGCCTTTATTCCCACTGGTCCCCCCTGTGGTCTGTGGGTCTGCTGTTCCTGAAGGCCACCACTCTCTCTGGGACCCTCTCTGTCCAGCTGTCCTCTCAGGTTCTGGTAACCGCTGCTGCCCCTTGCCTCTTCAGTTCTAAGGGCTGTATGGGCTCCCCATTGTTGCTAACCTCAGGGTGCTGCAACATCTCTCGTTGGCTTCTCGAAATTGTCCATTGTTCCTTCATTCAACCCCCTTCAAAGTGCCCCATCCGAAGGGACCATCTCTTCCTGCCAACCCCCTGACTGCTGTACTGGTGTTCTCTTCCAGTGCCCTTATTTTCTCTCTAAAGAAGGAAGGTGCTGAGGGGAAGGGAGAGAAGAGGCATGGGGAGAAGGATGGCCGTTTGAGACATCCCCCAAGGAGAACAGGAGTGGACCCTTGAACAGCGCTGAGGCCTCGGCTGAGGCTGGGACCTCGGCCCTCCAGGGCTGCCATCCAGAAAGCTCTCCCAATGTCCTCACAGACTCAGTTGCCAGGGCAGGCAGGGAAACAGGTTCAGACAAGTCCCGGATTTTGCCAGGTTGGTACAACTAAGGGACAGTGGGACAAGAGGATGTTGGCAAGGTAACAGAGGAGCCTGTGGCCAGGAGGGGTCAGGGAGGCCAAAGCACAGATGCAGAGGAAAACTGAGCAACTGAGCAAGAACACGGGGGCTGATAAGAAAGGACGTCTGATGTATGATTTGGGAGCAGCCGCAATTCTGGGGTCTAGTGAGGCCTGTGGGCATTGACGAGGAGAGTAGGGAATGAGAGGCTGAGGTGCTGATTGGATTGTCCATGGAGACCCCCAGGTTAGGGGACAGGAAGGCCATAAGTGGGTAGCCACAGTCTGTGATAAATGAGGGGGTATGACTGCAACACGCAGCTAGCCGCTGCCCACATATACAGCCGCATGCCCACACACACCCACAGCCACACTCATGCACACACGCCCACAGCCCTCCCAGACCAGACACTCCCAGACACCCTCACATGCACTCACCCTCACACACACCCCAGACAGCAGATGGGGCGCTCGGATAATTGGTTAAACCTGTTCTGACGTCTGGCTCCACATTGGCAGTGCCTGTCTGACAGGAAAGCTGGCTGGGTCCGCTCCACTCAGCCTGCTGGCCTCCCTCCCCTCCCCCTGCACGGCTGCCCTGGAGCAGGGGCTCTGGGAGAGGCCTGTGGGTCCAGCCTGCCTCCCTTTTGGCCAGAACCCAGTTCACGAGGCCGTGGTTGCACAGAGCCCCACGGGAAGGAATCATAGCACTCATGAGGAGGACTTGGTGTAAACTGAGTGCAGAGATGCTCCGAGCATGAGCCGTGCTGCTGTGGAGGCCGGAGGGACTAGTCTCGGGAAGTTCTGAGGACAAGAGGATGTGTAAAGATCATTCCCTGAACATGAGACACAGGGTTAGTCCATGCGAGTTAAGAACAGTTCCCCGTATTCCTTCCTCTTCAGCCACATGCAACTTGGGTTCCCACAGGTACTTATCACACCACAGTCCATTGGACTCGCAGGGCCCCGGGCGCCAGTGTTGGGGCTGTGACCCAGCAGACTGCTTCAGGAAAGGCCTGACCCAGCCCCTCCTGTCCACCTGTGCTCAGCCCTGCAGACCCTAATCTCCTGGGGGAGGAGTGGTCGGGGGAAGGAGAGGAGCATCATTCCTAGGCTTCTTCTCCCCTTCCCGGCTGCATCTGTGTCTCTTTTAGAGAGACTTTGGTTTGTTCCCTGGAGAGGGCCCAAAAACTCCCAAATTAGCAAACCTGGCAAGCCCGCAGCTCAGAAAATAGTTCATCCTGATTCCATGTTTTTCAGGCTCACAGAAGCCTTTATTAATGAAGTCACAACACCAATATTTACCGTCTGTGGGGAGAGGCACAACATGGGGGATGGATGGGAGTGCTTGGGGACTCCCGCCCCACCCCCAGCAGGCCTGGCCTAGGAAGATTGGCAGGTTTCCTTGGATCCTTTCCAGCTCTTTATCTGGATGACAGGGGGTGCTCTGCTGTGATCTCCCTGCACCCTCCCCCCACCCAGTGAGAGAAAATCCTGAGAGGAATGGCTCACCCATTCCTCTGGCCCTACTTGAGCCAAAAGGATACCCCCCCTTTCTCAGCCTCTCCAACCTGTGCACATATGCTCCCCCGAGGTCACCCCCCTGCCTGACAGTGAAGGAGTCCACCTGAGGTTTAACCTGGGCTTAGGATGTGAGGGACGCATTTTCCTGGTCGATGGGGAGAGTGGCTTTGGGATAGGACAAAGCCCTTTGCTTCCTCTGGGGAGGACTCAGAGAGGCACAGGAATAAGCTATCAGAGGTACCCAGATGAAGGCAGAGAGGGCTGGGGCAGTCAGAGGGCAATGACCAGAAGATCGAGGTGCAGACAAAGCCAGATGAGAGGCATTTGAGTTTGGCCACAAGGGGGTAGCAGTAACTGACTGTCATCAGCATCAGGAGAGAGTGGGGGGCCATGTGGGAAGTGAACAAGCAGAAACAGGTCTGGATTTCATAAGGGAAAGGTTGTTAGGAATACAGGTTTTACTTTATTAGGATGAAGGAAACCTTGGTGTGTGACACGCAGGTAAGACACGTGGGGGAAGTGAAGGGCAGGTGAACTAAAGAGCGTGCTGCGGCCTGCTTTGGAGCCCTTTCCGGGCTGGAGGCCCTGAGTCCTCGGGCACTGGTCGCAGGCTCACACTCACGCCCTGTCTCTGCAGCTTTAGTTTGCACAGGGGGCTCTCTGGGGACTGGTGAGCATCCTGGCGGGGGCCTGGGACTGTCAGCCTCTGTGAAGGGTGTCCCCTCCACCAGCACCCAGTACTCCCCTTTTCCTCTGGCTCCTCCTCAACTGGAGAAGCCACCAGAGTCTCTCAGCACAGGGAAGTGCACACACTCTCTCTCCCCTGGCCCACCCAGGCCTGATTCTCATGGCTCAACATGTTTGCAAAGACCTGGTCATAGCCTTCCTCATATACAGGGTGGCTCTTCCCTGTCTAGCCTCGGCCTCTCTTGTGGAGGTGGGTCAGAGGCCAGGTCGATGAACAACAAAGGAAAGGAGTGAGTAAACTGAATCTCCAAGGCTACACCCCAGGTCCCAGGTCCTGAACAAGTTTGCTCTGCCAGTCCCCACTGGCCCCCAGAACACGAACCCACCACCCCAGGCTCACGGGCTCTGGGGTGGAGCTGGATGCCCATGTCATTAAGAGACTTTTATTGTTCCCACTGGGAAGGGAAACACAAGGAATCACTAAAAACTACAGTGGGTGCCTGGAAAATAAATTAAAACAGAAATGCATCAAAACAAAAAGAAAAGAGAAATGGAGAATGGCTGGGAGGCAGCAATGGCTGTCGGCCTGCCCAGGCAGGCAGGCAGTTCTCCAAGGAGAAGGTCGAGCAGTCCTAGGCCTCAGCCAGGCCATTTCTTGTCCCTCTGTCGGTGGTAGCCCCAGGCTCCATGCCCTATGGGGCTGTGGCGGGAGGCCTCCCGCAGCCCGGCCGGAGAGTGGCCAGAGTCCAGCTGGGCCCATCCGGGGGCCTGGCCAGCAGCGAGCAGCACTCTGCCCTCACGGGTTGGTGGCTGCCCACCCTAGTCATTGGAGGTGACATCGATGTCCTCCCCATTGGCCTGTTTGGTGGCGATGCGCCACCGGTTGATGTGGTGGGAGCCCTTCTTCTTCTGCTCGGATTCGGGCCCCTCTTCCTCCAGCTTCTGCCGCTTGTACTTTGTCCTCCGGTTCTGGAACCACACCTTCACCTGGGCCAGGGAGGGAGGGGCACAGGTGAGAAATACCCACAGCAGCCATGGGGGTAGGGGCGGGGCCTCAGCACTCAGGCTGGGCTGGGAGCCAGTTGGAGAAACTAAGGCCGGGGTCCTTTCCTCTGGCCCGCTGCCACTTTGAGTTTGGAGGTCTTTGGGTCTGGAGAGGACACAGCGGGCTAGAAAGGGGCAGTTTTCCTGTCCCTCAACAGAGGAAAAGGAGGGGGCATGGAGCTGCTGAGCATCGTGTAGCCCCCGCACAGCAGAGGGGCAGACCCAGGCTCTGCAGCCTGGCTGACCTGGGCCTCCACCGGTTTCTAGAGAAAAGATAATCACTCCTCCACAGGGTTGATGGGAACATAAATGAGAGAACATATGAAGCCGTCACATGCTCCCTCTGTCTGTTCCTCCTGACCATGCAGTTTACTTGGCCTTGCAGAGTCAGGCCAGACCGGACCACCCTGTGTCAGAGCAGGGGCCTGGGTGCTGATCCTCTGCTACATTCCTTCCACTCTCTGTGCTTAAATCCCTCACGATGGGAGAAACGCTTCCTGGGGGTCTGGCGGCTCCAGGACACCTCCTGAGCTTTCGCCCCCGAGGGTCTCTGGGGAAGGGGATGCAGAATGGGCAGGGTTACAAAACAGGGACGGTGTCCTGGAGATGACAGTGCATTTAAAAGCAAGCAGTGTCAAAGGCAGCAGGGCGGTCCACGGTGCCCATGCAGATGGTGAACGGTAAGTTGCATGTGTGGACTGATGGCAAGCACCTTGGTTTTGGCAGCAGCAGTGACCGCTGGAAGGAGATTTTTGATTCCTGGTCAGGGCCAGGGGCAGTCCTCAGAGAGCCTACCCAGTCCAGCCCCTACTCCCTGAGAAAGAGAAGGCAAAGGCCTTTGCCGTGATGCTAGGCAACGGCAGCCAAAAGCAGGCCTGGCAGCCAGGCCCAGGGAGACGTTTCCTGCCCAGGAGGCCCCACCTTCACGATTCCCAGACACTCCCCTCTATCCCTTCCGTGGAAGCCACCCGACCCAGCGCTCCCCTTAACCACTGTCCCCCACCAGGGTTTCCACAGCACTGTCTGTCCTGCCCCTCGATTTTATAGCACCGGGACGAGGGTGGGGACAACTGGCGATCTGTGCTGCGCTATAAGCAGCCAGCCAGGGACAGGAAGAGATGAGGGGCCTGGCCTCAGGCAAAATGATGAGGGGAGGGTCTTCTTCCCTCATTTCCAGGGCAGGGTTCAAACCCCTTGCTGTGTGTGTCTCACCTCGGGCAGATGAGGAGGATGGCAGAAGCTCTAGGCAAAGGGCTTCTGGAGTCCATGCTCACCTTTCCTTGGACACAGGACTAGTCAGACCCTTGGGTGGTTCTCAGTAGAACCACTGGCAGCCAGCCTGGCCCCTGCCCCACCCCCACCCTGGAGCCTGCTGTGACTGTGCCATCCAGTAGGTGAGTGAGCTTGCCCTGCCTCTTGTGCAAGGCGTATACACGAGTCACGCCTGGATACTGGTCTGGGGTGGCATTCCTAAGAGCCCCAGGGGCTGGCTGAGGGTTACATATGGCCAACCTGATAACGGGGTGATCTGGGGCAGCCCTGGGCAGTACCAAGGACAGAGGGCCCCTTTCTGCACCTTCTCCCTCCCACACACTCCCATGTCTTTTTCCAGGAAGGAGACGTCTATAGAGGGATGGACCAAGTCTGCTACCCTTGCCTAGAGTCACTGACCCAGAGAAGGAAAGTTTCATTGGTGGAACTTCAGGCACAGGGGCACCTTCCTGGCACACCCAAATCAAAGGTGATTCTGAATATTTCCTCTATGAAAACGACTTGTGTCAAGGAGGCAGCTGTCTAGAAACAGGGCCTTAAGCCCCCTCCCCAGGCAGCCTGGCTATCTTCTGGAGAACAGCCTTGGGCTGAGTGTCCAGATGCTGTTTACAAAGACTGTACCAACAGGGAGATGCTTATGACTTAGTAACAGTAGTGAAAATGGCAGGATGCACAGTTTGGGCACAGTGCGATCACAGTCATGGAAAAACAAAAGTTCGGCATGGGAAAAAAGACTAGAAGGAAATGTACCCAAAGCACGGGTGACTTTTCTTTCTTTTTTCCACTTTTCTGAATTTTCTGTAATGCATTTCTAATAAGAATTGACAGTTATTTTTTCCTTGGAAGTGAAAAAAAACTGGGATCTGAGGGTAGTCAGAAATAAGAGTGACACCCATGGCCTCACCAACCCAGCTGGGCAACTCTGGGGTACCCAGAGCTCCTTCCCTAGGGACAGAGAACCTAGAAAGGAACCAGGCCACATAGTGTGGCTTCCAGCTCTGTGGGAGCCAGCCGTAGGAGGCTGTGCCTCTTCCATGCCTTTCCCGCCCCAACACCCACACACCTCTCTCTAAGCCTCGAAGGCACAGCTTGGTTGTTGGCTGGGCAGCCCTCACCCATCTCTGACCCTTGGGGTTTGGGGAAAGGTTCCTTATGGTCTCCCATGTTTGTACCTCATTGAACGTCCCTCAGTTTTTCAGACAAGCCAGACCCCTTCCAAGAGTCTCTGCTTTTGCCGGAGTTACCCCACCTAAAATACTCCTACTCAGTCTTCAGAACCCTGCTCCCATTGCCCGTCTGTACTTCCTTAGTACTTTTCTTTCTCAGTAACAGTGACCCCAGCAGCACACTCATTTATTTGCTGAACTTGTCTCCTCACTGGTCTGTGGGAACCTGGAGAACCAAAGCAGTGAGCTAGTATGCTTTGGAGTCCTAGTGGACATGTTCCAGGTCTGTTCAGCCAGCTGGACAGAGAGATGAGGTGACCCAGCCCTATGCTCTGTGCCAGACCTGGAAAAAAGGAGGAAAGCAATGGCAGAGGGATTGAGATCTAATTAAAAAAAGGGGTCTGGAAAGTGCTAATGGCTGAAGAGAGGGTCTTTTGGAGTGTTCAGTGGACACTTCTACAAGATGGTCAATTAAAAAAAAATTTTATTGTGTTTTTTTCCATTACCATTTAATCTCCAAGGTGGTCAATTCTTAATTCTCCATGTTGTGGACTGTATTAACCACTTGTAGGGGGAAGCTAAGGGAAGGAGACTCATTGTTGAGGGGCACAAAGGTCAGCTTGAGTCAGGCGGGATGAAGAAGGTGAAACTGCTGTGGATGGATGGATGGATGGATGGATGGATGGATGAATTGATCACTTAGTGCATTAGTGTATTGATCAATTTATGCATTAATGAATAAAGGCATGCATGTATTACTGCATGAGTGAATGGGCAAAGAAACTTACAAACAAGCGAACTACAGCTCTAGCCAATATTTCAGATTTAACTTTTCAATAATCTGCTGTTTGAATGAACCAGGTCTGAATCCCTTCTTTTCCACCACTACCCAACCTTAGCTCACTCCAGATGGAAGGGTCTGTGGCTCCTGGCCCCTGCATGCTTTCAGGTGAGTACATGTCCTCTGTTCAAGGAGTTCAAATACCCCTGTTAAAGGGTATTTGAGTTTTGTAATTCTGATACAAAAAGTTCCTCCAATGCCCCATGTCTCTCTTCTGTTTCAGTTTAACCCTGTGTTCTAGTCTGTCATCATTAGACACGGAGAAAGTCCTCTATCTGACAGAGGCTTGGAGACAACAATCCCGTCACCCCTCAGCCTGCTCTCCTCCCTGCCCTCTCACCCTGTGGGACATCCACAGCATGAGGGATCCACTTCCTATCATTTGACTCAGTGAACTGCTCCCACTCTCCAGGCCAAGCCCAATGCCGTTCTAAGCTCAACAGCTCAACTCTCACCCCACCAAACTGAGGTCACCTCTGACCCGAGGTCAACCATGGCCCTATCTCTTCCTAAGCCTTCTCGTCTCCTCTCTTAGCCCATCAGGGAGGCTTGCCCTCGCTCTCAAGTGAATTGCCCATGCCCATCACCCTGACCTCCCTTAGCCTACACCTCTGACTTCAAAGGGACTCCAGTAGCTCATCCTGTGCATGTCCCACAAGTGTGCACACTTTGTTCTTAGGTTCCTCCACTAAGTAAGGAATCTCCAAGGCCAAAGACCCCATTTCTGCACCTTTTCCCCTCTCAGCTCAGCACAGCTTAGAGCCAGGGGAGGTCAAGAAACACCTTCAGAACTGTTCAGAGCAGGAAGGGCAGCTGGAAACATGGATTGATCGATCCGCCTGGAGCAACTGAATGCTTTTTCTCACTCCCCCTGAAACGAAAGTGCTCCCCCTGAAACACACATGCACAGAACCATACAAGCTGCACTCCATGCTATCTGATGGCTTGCCGGCATCTGATGTGTACATGTGATATCACTTGACCTTTGGGCATCAATAACACTAAGCCTATATGTGCCCCACATTGTGGGCACACATACCCATTACACACACACCCACGCACACACACTCACTTGCCCACGTGGCTCTGATCTGACCTAGCCACCAGGACTGAATTTAGCTGGGCATCATCCAGACCAGACTCCAGGGCTGTACCACGGAAGTCAAGAGCAAGTGATCAGAGCCAGTAGGGAGCAGAGCCTGGGGGCCCCTCCCTGCACCCCCTGGATAAAGCCACTGTCCTACCAGTACAAACACCATACTCCCAACCACACGTACAGCCCTGCCCCAACAAAGAAGCTCAGGGTGCCCACCTCCCGACACTCCATGTTAAAGCTTTGGGTGTACAGAGACCCCTGAACTCAGGATTAAGATCCACACTGATCTGCCTAATCTTCCCAGAAGCTTTATCCATGGATAAAACTAGATCATCTAGATCAACAATCTAGAAAACAGAGGGATAGGGAGAAGTGACAGCAGATAGTAAGGGAAATAACTGATAAAATGAACATACAGGTATGTGTACAAATCAAGAGAAGTTTGGCCATTCACTCATTACATATTTATGGAGCATCGACTCCTTGCTGGTCACTGCACTGTGCCCGGGGTACAGCAAGACACAGGAAATCTGGGTTCCTGCCTCCCATAGAGGAGCTGCTCAGGCCGGCTGTTCATCAGAATCACCCAGAGAGTGGTTTTAAAAACTTTTCCTGGATCGCATCCTGAAACCTCTAAGAATCTCCTGAGTGAAGTCTCGGAATCCGTATTTTAAGATTTCTTTGTGAGACGGATACAGCCTGTCTACAGAGTGACATTTGGACATGGCAGTAAAGTCCTGTGCATATTTGGATACGTGAGCTCTGAGAACTTAGGGGACAGATTACACAGAAACACGGAGAAGTAGAATATAGATGAGCCAGCAACTCAGGGCTGAAAAGAACCCTGGAGTTAACTTCATTCTAACCTATAGGTAAAGCAAATGAGGCTCAGAAAGAAGACAAAGCAGGAACTGATGAGATGACAGATAACCATTAGCAGAGGCAGAAATATATTGTACTATCTGTCGGTTGCTAGACAGATCTATAGAGATGGAAGTTTAACATGGATAGTGGATACACAGAAGACAAAACAAAATAGATGATAAACAGATAACCAACAGTTGGGTAAATAGGAATTATTGTTAGGAAGATTGTAATTAAGAGGAAGTATAAGTTAACCAGCTTTGGGAGGTAGTTTAATGAGAACAGACATAAGTACATGGCTAGATATACAACAGGCTATCTGTGAGGGACAGATTCGAGAGCTCCAAGAGACAAATATAGATATTGACAGTAGAAATAAATGGGAGGGGGCTGATGGGAATGACTGACGCTTGACAAGTAGCTGGTAGCTGGAAATGACAGGTAGGCTCGCCTGGTAAATCCTGAAGGATGGATAGGGAATTAATGATATCACCTGGGTCCAAATGCTAAGTCAGGAGAGGGACAGAAAGACAGCTCTGGTGATAAAGGAGTGGGCATAGCAGAAGAACACTGGATAAGTAAGACTTGGATTTGAAGCCCAGATTTGGATTTTGTGAAAATACTAAACTGATATATTACCTCAAATAAAGGGAAGAGAAGGACTGGGGATTAGAATTAATATTACTTGGGTTAATATTAAAAGTGCTTTTAATCTTTAAACAACTTATTTTCTGGAAGAGGAAACCAGAGTGCAGAGAGGTTGAGAATCTCACCCAAGGGTCGTGCAGCCAGCAGGGAGGCAGGTGGCCAAACCACGTCTGCCTGCCTGGGGCGCTCTGCCCAGCCTCTGCAGCTCAGGGTCCTCACCGGGAAAGACAGCCTCTAGAAGGAGGTTTCTCAGGCTCAAAACCTCCTGTCATTCTATTACTATTAGTTTGTTACCTGTGCTAAAACCAGCTCACCTATGTAGATGAAACAAGATGAGACATGAGTTTTGATAGTGAAACTGTTCTAATATGTTTGTTTTAAAACTATAAGTTTGAAACATTTTACAATAAAAATGAAAGAAATAATTATGTTTACTAACTGGCATTGTTAGGAACAAATATTGACAGGCATCTAGGTTCAATTATAGAAAGCTAATTTAGTCTCACTGTGCTAAAAAAATGGAAAGTTTAAAACGATATTATTTCAACGAGTGTTAATCTGTGGGTGGTGGGATTATAAACCCTTTTGTTTTTTTACACTTATGCAATTAAAATTTAATAACTACCACTTTTAAAATGAAGTTAACTGTAAACACCATTCCTAACTCGACACCTTGTTTTAGACAAGTTTAAAATGCTGTTCACCAGGAGGGAAAGGGGGATTTTGTTTATTAACATGTTTTTTAAACATCTTTCTTAAAATATTTTTATATTTAACTCTTTTGTTTTGCAAGCCTTATCTCTATGGTTAGAAGAACCCAGCTAGCAAATCTACAAAAACACAGGTCCTTTAGTGGAGACGGGAACAACGCACTGATTAAATGGGGCATCAGACAGATAGTAGATAATAGATACCAAAATGCAACTCGAGAACCAGCCCTTGAGGGTCCGCTGCCCCAGGGAGCTGGGGACACGGTTAGGGTTTGGACTGCCCCACTAAGCCTCCTTTCTACCCTCATGGCTTCCTGGGAGATCCCGGGCTTCCCCTCTACACGTTCCCACCACCACCCGGCCCGGCCCAGCGCCTTCCCTCCGTCCGTGAATAAGGTGGAGGGTGAGGGAGGGTAGGAGAGACGAGGAGTATACAGGAAAGGGGAGCCGTGGTGAAACGCTAGGCCAGCTTGAAGACCTCTCTCATTTGCAAATCTGGGAGCGGACAAGAACCGAAGAGAGCAAGGTCTTCCGAAGCCCATCCAGACGCTGAAACCCGCCGCTAGGGCAGCAGCGGGCCCCTCCAGCAAGTCATACTGGGGTGGGCCAAAAGCTTAGGCGGTGATTCCAGGCAGCATTTACTTATGGGAAAGTCTTTTCTTACAATAAGCCCAAATCTGCTTCCTTATAACGCCTATCTACTTCTTGAATTTTTAAAAAGTTATCAATTACGACAATACGTGGTAATTGTAATTTCACCCACTTCAAACCCCTCCATCCCCGGAGTTCATTCTCTCCCAACTCGACAGCCCTCTGGTGAGTGAGGCAGCCCTGAATACCCCGAACGGACTTGCCCGCGTTCCTAGGCGCCGTAGACGCCCTCGCGTTTCCAGAGCCGTCTCCACGGCTCCCTGCCAGCCGGCCGGCGCGGAGATCAGGGCGTTCCTCCATCCTCCGACCCCAAGCAAGGCCGGCCGCTCCCTAGCTTTCCCCCTCCGTTTTCCAATGTTTCCAACGTGAGGACACGTGGGCTTTGTCCCCCTACCGCACCCGTTGGTGGAGAGTCGAGGCCTCTGCCAGCTCTGCCCACGAACGGCAACAAAGCCATGCAGGGAAGCCTGAGCACCCCACGAACCCCCGAGCGCCCCGGGAGAGTGGCGGGTGAAGGGCGTCAGTGAGCAGCGCTGAGATGGCTTCAGTGTCCACTGGCGCGGCCCCGGAGGGGCAGAGGTCCCGCCGCCTCCTGATAACCTGGCACCTCCTGTGGGCTTTGGGAGCGGACTCCGGGCAAGGTTTGATCCCACCTCCCGGTGCGTCCTCAGGGCTTGCTTAAGTCCCGCGGCCTCTGCGAGGCTAACCTCCGTTGGAGGCCCGGGGCTCTAAAGACAGGCTCTGCCGGGGCGCCGCCGGGGTGGCTTTCGGAGCTGGGCCGGAGAGGGCTCCGGGGAAGGCCGGCGCGGGAGGACTCGGGCGCTCCAGTCCCCGCCCGCCCCCACGCTGGCGGGGTGATTGTTACCTGCGTCTCCGAGAGGCTGAGGCTGCCGGCCAGCTGCTTCCGCTCGGCGCCCACCACGTAGTGGTTCTTCTCAAAGGCGCGCTCCAGTCGCAGCAGCTGCGAGGGAGAGAAGGCCGTGCGGATCCTCTTGGGCTTGCGCGCGAAGGGGCCGTGCAGAAGCAGCCCGTCCTGGGGCACGTCGCTCGCTGCCGCCGCGCCGCCGACGGCAACACCGCAAGTACAGACAGAGAGAAGTGGCGCGGTGAGCCGCAGCCCCGGGCGTCTCGCGTCTGCACGCGATACTGACTTGAGAGCTCCGCTACCCTCTCCAGACCTTGACCCCCGCCCCCGTCTTTCTCCCCTCTCCCTTTTGCCTCCCCTTCCTTAAGTCCACTCTTCTCCCCAACACCTGCCCACACTCCCACAGCTACCGGGTTGGGAGCCTCCCCGAGCTGCTATTGGGCCAGGGGGCGGCCCGGGGGCGCCAGTCAGCCCAAATCCACAGTGCCTGGAGCAACCCAAGGGGCCAAGGCACGAGCAAAGTCCCTTAGCCCTTTTTTTCTGCTTGTCCAATCCTATCTCCCTCCAGGTGGGCCGAGAGTAGGGAAAGGGCTGGGTGTCAGAAAGGTGACACGGGGGAACAGTAAAACTGCTAGACATCCCCAGCCAAACACAGATTCAGGAACTAGAAGATACTCGAGGAACTCCCCGCTCACCCCTGCTTAACCCAGCTTTGCTCAGGCTGCTAGCCCTTTGAAAATGCCTACCGACAGGCCCAGGCTCTGCCTTGCAAGTCGTAAAAAGAGGCCAGCGGCTGGCTCAATGGCCAGGCAGCACCTGCAGGTCTAAGGTCAGGTTCTTCTTCTGCCCTGCCCCACCCCCTCCTCTTTCCCCTCGGGTAAAAGCCTCTCCCCACAGGAGACTCTCACTGCTCTCTGGTGGGAAAAGATCTTGCTTTATCCCTGAGTAGTCCCATGCTAAAGAAACATTTTTATAAATATCTTGATAGCTTTCTCTCTAACATATTAGTATGTAAATATAGATATATTGGTTTCTGCATGGGTGTGTGTAAATATACGCTTCAGCCTCCCTACTGCCCTTTTCTCCCATCTACCAGGTAGGATTTTCAAAGAGTGTGACTATCCCCTGGTACACACTGCCCACCATGGAGACTCAGCTCCTCATGCAGGAGAAGGGGTTGACATTGGCCTGGGTGAGACTGGGGTGGTGGGGTCAGAAACTACAAAAGCCAAACAACCTTCCACCCATAGCCCCGGTTTCCATGAATCCCGCCCTGCCCCCTGGCCCTCTCTGGCTTGAGTGCATATGCTAACAGGCTCTAAGAGGCCCTGAAATCACCCACAAATGCTCATGCGGTGGAACAGAGCAGTCTCCCAACCCAACAATAATGCAGAGCCCTAGAAGGAATGTTTGACAAAGTTAGAGACTGTCAAGACTGACTGATCCAATGAATTTCTTCAGAAATGGCCATTGGTTTGACTTGATTTGACTCGTTGTTTTGTTCTTAAGAAAAATGTTTGGGTCATTCAGTTGAGATCTCCCATCTCTGGAAATATGTCTAAATGCAGCAGGGCACATTCTTGAGATGCTGTTGCTCAGACTCTCCAGGTTCATGTCCCTCTGCTGGTGGAAACTGCCTGACAATACTTTCTCCAAGTCCCAGGGCTGCAGACGCCAACAGAGGCAAACTTTATTGCTGAGATTCTCTGTAGAGCAGGGTTGCCTAGGAATGAGGGGCTAGTGCCTGGGCGGGGAGACAAAGTCCCCTGACTGGGAGAAGTTACAGTTTCCAGTCACCTTATCCATTTCAAGTGGCTGGATCTGTGTTGCCACAAAAGGGAGGGGATCACATCACAGGAAGGTGGAGGGGAGACACTCTGCCCATTGGGCCCTCCAGGATGGGGCAGGCCATGAACCCTCAGGCTCCACTGAAGAAACAGAAGTTTAACTTGTGGTAGGGGAGGGGACAGATAATCAGAGAGGTGGTCTGACAGAAAGGGATGCAAGGGAAAGAAAAGAGGAGCCTGACCCAAGTATAAATAAAAAGTATAAAATCTGAAGTGTGGGCGAGAGAAAGGTGAGAGAGGTGAATGGGAAGCAGATACTTCTTGGTGATATTAAAATAAATTGCTTCAAAAACCAACAATGCCCTGAGCCCAGGTGAAGTCCAACAGTGGTTTCTGCTGGAAGAGGGAGAGCCTAGCGCAGCCCAGCCCTCGGACGGTTTGGCTCCAGCAACTGGACTGGCAGAAGGGAGGTGGCAGCAGCGAGAACCTGTGGGTGTGAGTGGGTTGCAGAGGTGAAGGGCAGTAAGGAGCCGAGGAAGCAGGGCTGCAGTCTGCCTCAGTGTGTGTGACTCGATGGCTGTTTTACAATTTTGTGGTTTGTGTCCATCTCTTGTGTGGTGGAGTTTGCTGTGTTTGTCTCTACAAACCCACAGTGAAGGACGGAAGCGACAGGTGATTCTGTCATTCTGACATACACATGTCCGTCTGCCTCCAGTCTGGGTATTTTAGGGGCAAGCTAGGTTGTCCTGGGCCTGCCTCACTAAAAGAATGCCCTCAGTTCACTGTCATGCCCTGTCGGGTAGGATAGCAGTCTGTGTTCGTACACACACACACAGACATAGAGGGCCTTCTGGTCCAGCCACAAAGAAGCAGGGGTCAGGAAAATTATTCAAGATACAGACAAGTGATAACAAAAGAACCAGGTCTCTTCCCTGTCAGATAGAGGATATTTAGTGCAAAACTAACCATCCTGAGAAACTGATCAATATCTATATGTTTCTGTAAGGACCCATGTACCCCTCTTCACTCTGACCTGTAGCGTGGGGGCCTCAACCACCCCAACCGTGGCTTCAGTTTCTCTTAACTGGATCACGAGGGCAGAACAAGCCCGGGGCTGGGGTGCGGCCTGGCCTGTTTGGATCCAGTAATTCTGGGCTGTGAGGAGTGAGCTGTCAGTTTCAGACAAGCACAGGTGGGAAAGTAGAAAGGGACCTGGCTGAGCCTTCCCTGGAGCTAAAAATTGAACCAACCCCACCAAACCCCATTTTTCTCCAGCCTCTCTCTGCGGGCAACTTCAAGGCACTAGCTAGCAACTAGCAATAGAGACTCCCAAGAACAAGGCTCCTGGAGGTGGGAACTAGGGACTTGAAGGGCCCAGGGCTAGAGCTGCAGTCCCTTGGGCAGAGGCCATGGCAAGCTGGCGGGGCGGATGGGCCTGGGGCTACCAAAGCGAGAGGCTGGCCAGGCAGCGGAGATAGCCTCATTTCCCCCTCCTCCTGCAGGAACAAAGGCTCCCTTTGAAGCACCGGCCCATTACCAATGCCCGTCCCAGAAGACTGGGTCTTCCGAGGCCCCTTTCCGAGTGCTCCCTGGCTTGGAAAGTTCCTGATGTCCGGGAAATGGCACCGAGTCCAGCCAACACCTGGTCTCCACCGACACCTCCCCTTCAGGCCTCAAAAGCAGACCCCTGCTTCAGGATCCCCCCACCCAGTTCTGACCATCCAGCTCTGGCTTTTCCTCTTCCACCGCCTTGCCCAGCGAAGAATCCTCTTCCCTGCTCACAGGGACTGTGCTGCCAGAGAGCTCAGGGTATGGAGCGCAGACATGTTCCTTTTCGTTCACGTAGGGTTTCATTTCTAGTATTAAAACAGGGCTGAAATGAGCATCGCAAGAGACCCGGTTCTCTAGAAAACGCGGCGCGGGAAGAAGTGGGCTGGCTCAGCTCGCAGTCCCGAGCCGCGTGGGGACCTCAGGGCGCGCGCCGCCGGGGTGTGCAGCGGTCTGCCACTGCGCTGACCCGCCAGAAACCGAAATGTCTCAGGGTTCTAATGTCCTTCAGTGCCCAATGCATTTCCAAGTTCAAAAATGCGGCCACACTTGGCTCCATCTCCGCATCCAGACACGGTTCTTGAGAGAGAAATCCAACCGTTTTGCAACTCCACAACGTGCCCGCCGGGACTGCGAGCTCAGGAAGCGGCGGCAATTTCTGAAAGCGTGTTGCTGAGGATTTGTCGGGCCTCGTCTGGCTGGGGATGCTTAGAACCGTAGCTGGACCTCTCCCGGCCCTCGGAGCCCCAGTCCGGGAGCGCGAGAAGGCCCGGGTCGAGAAAGGCGGCTGGGAGGGAATGGGGCGCGGGTCGGAAGCCGGGGCTCCGCAGGAGAGGCCTTCTCGGGCTCAGCGGAGACCTCGGGGCCGGGGACTGCCGCTGCCCTCTTGTCCACGCCGCGTCCCTCCGCAAGTCCTTCCACCGGCCTGGTGCGGAGGTTCACAAACAGCTGCGACTCCCACATCGGTCCGCGGGCACTGGGTTTCAAGACTCAGGCCGGAAACCGAGTCCATGGAGGACCCAGGCGGTTTGCACAATTCTGAACAAAATTTAATTTTATGAGTAAACATTGTTTTTAATTTACAGGTTCCTCGCCCCAATCGCCTGACATCGCAGGCTTCCTTCCACCCCGGATGATGTGGACACATCTTTGAAATCCCCGAGGGAGACGTGTGGCCACAAAAATTCTTGCTCAAGTAATTATATTCTCTCGTTTTGTGGGATCCAATGGGCCCGTGTCTGCCAGCCGGACGTGGCTGAGAAAACCGTGCGACACTTCGGGACCTGCGGCAGCGGCTGCCTCTGAAACAAACAGCTGGAGCCAATGTTTCCAGAGATCGTTTTTTTTTAAGAGATTATCTGTTATCTAGACAATTGTAGCAAACATCCAGTTTACTTTGATGCGTAGATGGGTTTACCTTCAGCTTAGTTCCAGGAGCCGAAGCTCAAGCCACGTCCTTTTCGTTTGTTCCTCTAAAGGTCGGGCTACCTAGCTCTGATTCCCGGACCCTCTCAAGGCTGAGGTCCGGTCTACACTAACAAAACAGAGCCGGAAACTAAAAAAGCGATTCCTGCACAAATTATGGCTAGTTAAGAAAGAAAGAAAGGAAGAAAGAAAGAAAGAAAGAAAGAAAGAAAGAAAGAAACTCCAACAAATTCAAGGAAGAAAGCGAACTCCAACAAATGCAACTCTCCTTCGGGAAAGTCAGATAATTTAAACAAGTCCGTGTGTGTGTGCCTGCGTGTGTGCGTGTGAGGCCAGTGAGCAAAACCATTGTCGGTAGCGGACAAGGGGGCTCGAACCACCTACGACCTTAAAAGCTTTTTGCCCCCGCCCCCTACCTAGGAGGACCGCAGTGGGTCCCGCAGCAGCCGGGTGGGCTTCCACAGTAGGCAAACGGCGGAGGAAGCTGGTTTGCTCTTGCAAACCTCCTCACCCTGGGTCCGAGAGCCGCGTGTGACTTGGAGAAGTCAGGCCAACGTTGCTGAGAAACATCTCAAGACAACGCAGAACGCCACACTGAACATTAACTGTCCAGTTTTCCCTGCCCGCTGCCCCTTCTTCCCTCTGACTCGAGGCACCAGGTGGACTTTGCCCTGCTCGGACGCTCCAGCTAGTGGGGGGATCCCTAAGAGTCGGTGATGGACATGCAAGCGAGTGAAGTCTGGCCCCAGGTCCAGACAGGGCGGCGGGCACTGCGCTCTTCGGGCTGAGACTGGCTCGACCGGGAGAGATTAAGGCAGGCCGCCGGGAAGACCGGGAGAGGCTCCAAGGATGCTCCCGGGTTGGCATCGTAACTGGGAAAGCCTGGAGGTCCCAACCTGACTCTCTGGGAGGGAGCCCAACGCAGCTGAAGCGCAGTGGATCCGGTGCTGCTCTTCCGGGCTTGGGAATCGGCCTCTGAGGACCCGCAGCCTTCTCACAACTTCCGAACAGCCCCTCGCGCCCCAGAGCCTCCCTCGGGCCACCGCAGCAAGGGCGCCGGCCGACTGCCTAGGCAGGCACAGCGTGGGCACTCACCCTGGAAGCGGTGGCCGAAGAAGCGGTTCCGCAGGACCCAGGGGTAGAAGTGCAGAGGGTCCCGGTGCTGGGCGCCGAAGAAGGAGTGCGGGGGTTGCAGCGGGGAGGCACCCAGCTGGTGCGCAGGATGCACGGTCAGCGCGGGATGGTTCATGGCCTCTGGGAACACGAGCTCGGGCCCGCCGTAGAGCGAGCGGCCGGCGCCCGCGGCGGCAGCGGGGAAACCGCTCACGAATGCCGCCTCAGCCGCGCCGGGGTGAGGGTAATTGAGTGCGGTGGGCCGGAGAGGCTCCTCCGAGGCGGCCGCAGCCAAGGGATGGGAGCCCGCACCCCCGCCGCCAGTGCCCCCGCTGCTGCCGCCGTCCTTGGCCACCAAGGACTCGATGGTAAAGCCGCGCTTGGCTGTAGGCTGGAACATGGTCGCGGGCGCCAGAGCCGAGAGAGGCAGCCGGGTTCTGGGGAGCGCTCCGCGTCTTGGCGCCGCCGCCGCCGTGCGGGGTGTACACCCAGCCAGGCACATGCACGCACACCAGTACCCCTCACCTCCCCCGCCCGCCCGCGCTCAGCCCCTGCGGGTGAGCCAGGCGAGGAACGGCGAGGGGTGTGCTAGCCAGCGAACCCGGAGTCCGGCCACAGCGCACAGCTAGGCGCGCGGGCCTCTGTGGCTGAGCGGGCAGCTCCCGGAGCGTGCACTGGAGCGGGCTCCGAGCACTGCTTCGAGCTGCCTCTACGGCCTGTGGGCTAAGCTCGGCCTCCTCCCTCCGGAGTCCAGCCGGGATGGACCCCCACCCCGGGTCCTCCAGCAGTGCCCAGCCTAGCCTGGGCAGCAGCACGGTGAGACGCAAGTTAGCCGGCACCTGCCCCAAGCTCACCCATTGGCCGCTGCTCACCTGCTCCAAGGTGGGGGGCGGGGTGGGGCGGGGCGAGGGACCCCAGTTTGGGGGGCGGGTAAAGAAGCCAGCAGTCAGAGGCAAAAACCGGACTGGAGCCTAAACGGGGCGTAGGCCTCCCCCCGCCTCCCCATCCCCTCGCTACTGGCTTCTCCAGTCTCCGCCCTTTAGCTAAGTCTAGCGGCCGCCTCAACTGTCTTAATCCACACGAGATCCGAAGAAGGTGCTCCGGGGCCAGGGGCTTGGGAGAAGCTTCAACCCCACTCCTCAGCGCATAACTCACTGGAGCCATCTCTAATTTGTCCCAGGATGTTGTTTCAGTTCTTAGGCAACTTGGAAATGAGAGGAGAGTGGGTGTTCAAGGTCCCACAGATAGGTTCTCCCAAGAACCAGCTCCCTACTCCTCCGGTGTCCGGGACCCTCCTGCTCACCCACTGTCCGTCTCCTGGGCCGTGAAGTTTAGCGTTTTCTGGATGTCATGGGGGAGCAGCTCCAGAAAGGGGACGCTTAATTCCTTTCACGAGGAGTCAGGCCCGGGAGGTGGGAGAGGAGCCGCCAGAGCGGTCGCCCTGCAGCCCTCCAGCCTCAGTGCCTGGGACTCGGAAGCACCTTTGCCTGCTAGTCACAGCCACCGCGGCAGACGGGCTGCGGGCCGCAGAGCAGGGCTCAGAGCCGGGCGATCCTCTTCCCTCGCCTCCTCTGCTGGGCCTTTTCTGGTCGTGTGGGTCAAGTGCAGGCGGCCCGAATCAGGCCGGGGCCTCAAGGACATTCTTAGATTAGAGCTGGCCTAGCAGTCGACTCCGTCTGCAAACAGACGCACCGGCAGTCCCAGGCACGCAGCGAACGTCTGGCCTCCCCTGACCATCATCTTCCCCCGCGACCGCAGAGCAGGCGACGACCCTGCTCTGGTCAGTTCCCATTTTGTGCAATAATTCCCCAGAGGAGAGAGGGCAGTTGGCAAGGAGAACCAGTACTCTGCAAACTTCTCCACCCGAGGCTTCTGGGCTACAGGACAACACTGCACTGAGGCCTAGGAGGGCGCTAGGCCATGGTGGGGAAACTGAGACCCGGACCCTGCCAGCACAGCGAGAGATGCGGATCACAGCGCGTTCCACTCGGAGCCGCTCGGCTGCAGCCCGAGTGCGCAGATTCCGGCTGGGCCTCCAGGCGCCCCGAGGCCAGGAGGTCCGCGTTCGTCTGCAGGGACTCCAGGCCGGGTCTTGGGAGTGGCCCAGAGGAGCGCGGGGAGCCTCGTCCGGGAGAGCGCTCCGGGCGCCCTGTCGCCACAAAGCGGGTTAAAGTCTATTTTCCACTCCACTGCCCCGAAAAGCCCCCGCGCGCCGACGCCGTCCGGGCCCCGTCCGGCGAGGTGGGGAGGGAGCAGCGGCAGAGGGGGAGGTGAGGCCACCGCACCCCGCAACCCTTCGCTCCCTGGGAAGCCCCGCGTGGCGCACCGCGGAGGTGCCCAGAAACGCCTGCGGAAGGAATCGTCGCGGAATCCGCGGCAAGCGCACTGTGACTCTTTTGCTGGTTTCTCGGGGTCGTTCTTGCCCTTTGTGCTGGCCTTTCCCTCCCTCACAGTTCTGTCTCCGGCTCCGGCTCTCTGTCTCTCTGTCTCTCTGTCTCTGTCTCTGTCTCTGTCTCTCTGTCTCTGTCTCTCTGTCTCTCTGTCTCTCTCTCTCTCTCTGTCTCTCTCTCTGTCTCTCTCTGTCTCTCTCTCTGTCTCTCTCTGTCTCTCTCTGTCTCTCTCTGTCTCTCTCTCTCTCTCTCTCTCTCTCTCGCCTCCCTGCTGCTCCAGGCCGACTTTCCCTCTATTTCTTCCCCCTTCTCCTTTGCCGCATCCTCAGTCCTGGAAAAGGGGCAGCTGCGCCGAGTGGGGACGGGGACCTCACATTCAGAAGGCAGGGTGCGGAGCTGAGCGGAGGCACAGACGAGGAGAGTTTCCTTACACATGGAAAGAAATAACAGGAGAGCGGGGTCCCGGAAGGGACGCGGGTTCCGCTGGATAGGCACTGCCTGGGCCTGTGCTCTGTGGAGACAGAGCAGGTGCTGCGGGCCGCGAAGGAGAAGGTCCAAGTTGAATCCGCCCCCAGGGCCTTGCGCCCCTAGCGGGAGATGAACCCCACCTGTCCAGCTGCAGACCCTCACCTCTGGGTATTGACCTCGCGCTCGCTAAATTAGTCAGGTAGAGGAGCTGGGAACCTACCAGGCCATGACTAGACTCGCAGCTACAGACTGCCACATCTACGTTCTTTCCTATGGCTCTGGATAGACATTTTTTTTTTTTCAATTCAATAGACCTTCAAAATAACGCTTTCCACATGTTGCGGCGCTTTCCAGATACTCTTACACCCAACCACCTGTCGTTATTCCCACTTCACAGGTGAAGAAACAGGCTGCACAGGACCGGGGACTTGAGTCTGGTTTCAGCAGGGATGGCTGGCTCAGGTTCCACCCCAGTTCCCTCCCCACCCCTGCCGCTGCAGCCTGCTCTCCCAAGATGTGCCGCTCAGAGGGTTAGGGACAGGGGCTGGGGTGTGCTGGACGTTGGGGACTCTATCTTCTTCCTCCCTCTGCTTTTCCTCTCCTGACACCCCCTTCTTGCGCTTTTCTCTCCTGTAGTTCCCTACGTTCCCTCCTTTCCCCTCCCTTGGCAGATGTTTATCTCTAACCTGATTTCCTCTGTTGCCACTTTTCTTAGGGCCTCTTCATCTGTTGTTACTTCCCTTGAAGTTGGTTAAGAGAACTTGTCGCCCTCGTGGGGGTGGGTGGGTCTCTAGCCTGCCACTGTGTTCTGGGTCCAGCATCAATGCCCCCACCTGGCCCCAGTCTCTTCCTGTGCCATCTCCCCTGCTCGGTTTCTGACAAAATCATACCTGTGCCTCTCCCCATCCGCTCCCCACCTCCCCCGCTGATTGTGTACACAAATGCCTGCTCTCCTCACAAGGGCACCGCTGCCACTTTTACCAAACTCACCTCTGTTCCCCAACCCTTCCTCTCCACCTTTCCTGTCCTCCTTTCCAGGCTACTGAGTTCTGACCTGACCAGAAGCTGGCCACGCCTTCCTCCTGCTGGAGTGCCTCACCCTTACCACACATCTAGGGGCAGCTTGCCTTTCACAGCTCACCTGCTCACCCCCCTGGACCTCCTATCCTGGCTCTGGCCCCATCAGCTTTTCTCTTCCCTTCCTTTATCTGTGGAAAATCCCAGGCTCAGATCCTGACTCTTCCATTTACTACTGATGACACCTGGGGCCAATAATCTCGCTTCAATGTACGCACCTGTGAAATGGCAAGCATTATATGGGAGCTCTGGAAGAATTAGATGACAGGATATGTGGTGCATAGGACCAATGCCTGACTCCAGAGAGGCACTTGGTAAATGTTACTGTCTCGGCCTCTGCCTTTTGCCCATGCGGGAAACTTGGGAGTCATCCTCAAATCCTCACTCTCTCATCCTCCATCCACATCCAGCTGGTCACCAGGTCTTGTTGTTAAGTACTTCTGAAGTCTAATCCTCTCCCTTTTTGCTTCTTTGGGCTAACTTAATTCCTCACAACTCAGTTCGACAACTCCCCAGGAAGCTCCTTCCACCACCATCATGCCACTCTGTTTAGCATTCACCTGCAGGGTGGAGCTGTCTGTGCCTGCAGTCTGTCTCCCTCACTAGCCTGCATGCCCTCCTCCCCCCACCCCCGCCGGGAAGCTGTGGTGCACATCACGACCCCCAGCAGAGTCCTGGCAGGCAATGAGAGCTTGGTCCGACAACACCTCCAGCCATCTCCCTTTTCCTTTCCGTCTCCGGCTTTCCTCTTCAGCCTACATTCACCTTCATGTCTCCCTGCCCTACAAAAACTCTTTTGTCCTCATGTTTCCCTCACTCTGTTACCTTCTCTTCTTCTCTGTCAACCTTCTTGAATGTTTTATCCTCTCTCCAACTCCCTCACTTTCCCTGAGTCAATAGGCCTTTGCAACCTGGCTTCCACACCATTAGAAAAATGGCTGTAAAAGCTTCAAAACGTTTAGTGTGGAGTTAGTGCAACAGCAGCCTTTGCTTATAGAGACAATAAGCACAACTTTATGGAGCTATTGTGAGCCTGAATGAGTTATAATCCCCACTCACTGGGCTTAGAACATTGTCTAGCACATAGTAGGTTCTTGATAAATGTTAGCTATTATTTTATAGAATCGTGCTGTCCACTATGGAAGTGGCTATTTGTGTGCTTGAAATGTGGATGGCCCAAATTTAGATATTCTATAAATGTGAAATACACACCAGATGTGGAAGGCTGGGTGTTAAAAACATGTAAAATATCATCAATATTTTCTATGTTGATTACATGTCACAATGATAATACAGGGGTGGGCAAAAGTAGGTTAATAAAAAATTAAAAATATATACATACACACATACATACATAAATAAGACAAGAATAAACTGTATTTTGCATACTCACAACCAAAATCTACTTTTGCCAACCCCTGTATTTGGGATATATTGATGTTATTAAGATTATTTTTATCTATTTCTTTTCCTTTTAAATGTGGCTACTAGAATATTTAAAATTACATATGTGTCTCCTATTGTATTTTTATTGGACAGAGTTGTTATAGAAAATACAGGTAATCCAGGACAGTGAGGGTGTGTGAATGAATGTGGAGAGGGGAAAACAGATTTTATAGTTTTCAAATCCTACCACCCTGAAACAACCATCATAAAATTCTTGTAGTATATCCTTCTATTTTTTTTCTCTCTATGCCTTCCTTAAAAGGGGGAAGGGGGATCATGGTTTTGTAACCTGTTTCTTTATCTATATAGCCAATTGCAAGCATCTTTGTATCTTGTTAAATATTCTGTCATTTATATTTATTAAATATTTATGCTGTTTACAGATTTTCACTATTTTCAACAAAATTTTGACCAACAGCCTCATAGCCATATTACTTTTCTATATAATGTGTTGCAG